ATGCTACATCTTTAAAATAATAGGTATATTATCTTTTTTCTTATTTTGGCAAATGCAGTTTATTTACATTTATTTTCTGTGAACATTTATTGTAATTAATTCATCCAAGTGGCTTCCACTAATCCACAATAGAAGAGTGTTGGAAAACCTCATCTGGCTTGAATTTCTTAAAACACTATTTTCTCTTGCAGATGCTGCCCTCTTCCACAGACCTTTCACAGGCCCCTGGGCAGCCCCAGGCTCATGAGACACACGTCAAAGTGAATGGGATGACTGAGTCAGTACCTGCAAACCCTCCGCAAGAGGTGGAGAGCACCTCCAGTTCTCACATCGCTCCAAACGGGTGTGCTGGTTCTCCTGTAAAATTAACAAGTCCAGGGAGGATCATAGCCTTGCATCAAGAACTAAGACAGAACCATCACAAAAATTGCCAGGTCAGTAAAAATTTTCTCATCGTTTTTAATTTAGTGACTTCTATTATACTTGGCAGTCATTTTATAGATCATATGGATATCTGAATGACTGCTTCCAGAGATGCACAGCTGTTTGTTAGTTTAAACAAGCTGAGGGTAACAAACATTTCATGATTTTCATGATGCATTTTCTTCCTCATTGTTTAGGAATGGCTTGGGGCTTGTAAAAATAATGAAAAGGTTTTGTTTTCATCATGGTGTACTGTCTGGAAAGACAATCTTTGAAAATTGTTGGATGTTTGAAAACAAAAAGTTGTTATGTTGATCTTGTCCTACCTTTTTTTTTCCCTCCAATTCCTTTTTTTTTTTTTTTTTTAGTGATCCAATTATTCCTGTGCCCTGAAGCTCTTTATAGTAATTTCCATTAACTGCAGGAATCCTGTTAAGAACAGAGCTGATCAATTGCAATTGCATTTGTGACAGTCTGCTGCTAAACTAAACAGGCAGGAGATTTCACCCTCTCTGAGACAACATAACCTCTCCATAAATGTAGAGAAAAAAAATTCAAGTATGCAATTACTGGAGCCAGTTAGCTAGAGTAGCTGCAAATATTATTCTACTGGATTTCCTTTATAATTTGGATTAAAATAAATGTAATAAAACAAATAGAAGTGTAGTTTCTGCATTTGGCATTAGTAGTTGAAAAAGCCATGCAAGATACTGAAATTGCCTTTTAGTTAAGAAATTTATTATACAATGAAATGGTGTCTCAGAATTCCAATAACATGTGAAACCCTTGAGTTATTTACTCCAAGGGATGTATGTGACAGTTCATATCCAGTTTCCTGATCGTTTTCTTTATCACAGTCACATATATAAACAATCAATGAAAATATCATCCTGAAAGAAAATTCTTAGGGAGAGCAGAATGCTAGTAGTTCTTTTTACCTGATCTTTGGCAACTGAAGGATATTCTTTTTATATACATCATGTGAGCTTTAATGGAATCCTAATGACAGCATGACACAGGCCTACTGTACAATTATATGGGAAGCTACAGCTGAAATCAGCCACAACACATAGAGTGGCCTGGGACATCCAAGGTTATGTTTTCTTTTCTTCTTTCCTCCTCAGATACCCTCTGTCGTCTCCTCCACCTCCCATCTGAAGGCTGACTGCAACCTGCCTGTGATCCACGAGGAAGCCCCTTGGCCTCTGCTGTCAGGGATGAAGGATGCGCTGGCGCTTCCAGAGCTCAGCACTTTCTGGGCCACGAAGGGGAGGGATCGGTTGTCGAAATGTGATGATGTATTTGGGGGTCAAATAGGAAATCAGCATGCAGGTGCTATTCCCCAGGGAATGAAACAGAAAAATGCCATTATGAATAAGGCATGGCCCTCTAGAGAAAAAACAGATGGCTCAACCTCAGCTCCCACAGCAAAAAGCTGTTTGTCAGACGCGTTGTCAGCAAGTAAGAAAGGTCGAAATCCTGTGGGGAGAAATCAGCTGCACAGGAAAGAATAAAACCCGCAGAAATAAAACAAGGTAAAGCATCTCAGCAGCGTGATTTTCCCATTGTTACAACAGTACTAATCATTTTTTAAAACAAAGATATTTTACTAGTTAGCATGGTCTAGCAACTAGTTTGAGGTGACTGGAAAATTTACATGAAAAAAGAGCTGTAATACTTTGTATGATCAGAATTTCTTAGAAAATTTGAGGTCACTGAAATCTGTGGATTTTTCCGTAGCCAGGCTGCCTGCCCATTTTCTTTTCACCACTTGTTTATGATTTGCTTTTCTCTTAACTGAGACCATGAAGCAATCTATTAAATCACTCTAACTTTTATGTATAACCCATTTCTTCAGTGTGCAGTGGCAAGTTCTGAAAGAACAGCTGGCTTGCATGACTGTTTCCTCTGGAACTTAAGGAAATGTGTCATGGACTTCCTAGAAACTTCTTTTTTTCAGAAATTTGGGAGTAGTTTTGCTGTTAGTGTTTCTTTAGTGTCTTGGGATTTGGGGGGCAGAGGGGGCAAGA